GAGACTGGGGGGAATTGGGGGGGAAAGGGGAGAAATTGGGGGGGTAAATGGAGAGAAATTGGGATAAAAAGGGGCAAAATTGGGGAATAGAAGGGGGAATACGGGATAAAAAGGGGTCAAAATTGGGGGATAGAAAGGGGAGAAATTGGGGGATAGAAAGGGGTAAAATCAAGGCCGAAAGGCAATAAAAAGGGCCAAATTTTGGGGCCCCCGGGGTGTTTTTACCCATTCTCGGGTGCTCTTTTCCGCGCCGCGTGCTGCTTGAGGATCTTCTGGTGCTCGTCGTACGCCGTCAGGAGGCTGCAGGGGGGGGAGGATGGGGGTTGAGAAACCTTTTTTGGGGAGTTTTAGGGGGTTTTTCCCCCCCGGGATACCCAACTCTTCCCCTTTTTCCCCCCAAACCTGTGGATGCTGGAGCCGAAATCCTCGAGGAACTCGACGCGGCGCTGGGAGAAGACGAGCTTGGCCTCGTCGGGGAGGGGGCTGCGAAGGGCCCGCTCGAAGCACCTCATGGTGTTCCCCTCGTTCTGCCTCACGTCGGCCCCAAATTCCATCTCCAGGAGGTTGGCGTGAAGGCGGGCGTTGTCCTGCAGCCACCACCCCCCCCGTCAGATTTTGGGGGGGCCCCAGGGGTCGAGGAGGAGTCCCCGGGGGTGGAAGGGGTCCAGGGAGACTCCCATCGTGAGGTTTTGGGGTCCCCAGTGGGGTTTGGGGAGCCCTAAGGGCATCTGTGGGGTTCCCAATGGGGCTGTGGGGTCACCAAGAGGGTCCCAGGAGGTTTTGGGGTCCCCAGGGTCGGTGGGGAGTCCCTAAGAGGGTCTGGGGAGCCCCCCCCGTGAGGTTTTGGGGTCCCCAGTGGGGTTTGGGGAGCCCCAAGGGCATCTGTGGGGTTCCCAGTGGGGCTGTGGGGTCACCAAGAGGGTCCCAGGAGGTTTTGGGGTCCCCAGGGTCGGTGGGGAGTCCCTAAGAGGGTCTGGGGAGCCCCCCCCGTGAGGTTTTGGGGTCCCCAGTGGGGTTTGGGCAGCCCCAAGGGCATCTGTGGGGTTCCCAGTGGGGCTGTGGGGTCACCAAGAGGGTCCCAGGAGGTTTTGGGGTCCCCAGGGTCGGTGGGGAGTCCCTAAGAGGGTCTGGGGAGCCCCCCCCGTGAGGTTTTGGGGTCCCCAGTGGGGTTTGGGCAGCCCCAAGGGCATCTGTGGGGTTCCCAGTGGGGCTGTGGGGTCACCAAGAGGGTCCCAGGAGGTTTTGGGGTCCCCAGGGTCGGTGGGGAGTCCCTAAGAGGGTCTGGGGAGCCCCCCCCGTGAGGTTTTGGGGTCCCCAGTGGGGTTTGGGCAGCCCCAAGGGCATCTGTGGGGTTCCCAGTGGGGCTGTGGGGTCACCAAGAAGGTCTGGGGAGCCCCCCCAGGAGGTTTTGGGGTCCCCAGGGTCGGTGAAGAGTCCCTAAGAGGGTTTGGGGAGCCCCCCCTGTGAGGTTTTGGGGTCCCCAGTGGGGTTTGGGGAGCCCCAGGGTCAGGGGAAGAGTCCCTAAGAGGGTTTGGGGAGCCCCCCCAAGGAGGTTTTGGGGTCCCCAGTGGGGTTTGGGGAGTCCTGAGTGCGACTGTGGGGTCCCCAGTGGGGTCTGTGGGTCCCCAAAAGGGGTTTATTCAGCCCCAGGGTTTGGGGGTCCCCAGAAGGGATCTGGGGGTCCCCAGAAAGGATCTATGGGTCCCCAAAAGGGGTCTGGGGGCTCTCTAGAGCCCCAAACCCCCCTCCAAGTGCCCACCACATTTCGGGGGGAGTCCAAATCCCACCTCCCAGCTGAAAATCAACCTCCCACCCCACTTCCTAGGGCTGGGTGAAGGATCAAACCCTCAGGAACACCCCCAAAAAAGAGCTTTTTTTTTTTCTTTCCCCCCCTCCTGCTCACCGGCTCCTTTTCCAGGGCTTCCACCAGCACTATGGGTCCCCAGAAGGGATCTGGGGGTCCCTAAAAGGGATCTATGGGTCCCCAAAAAGGGTCTGGGGATGCCCAAAAGGGGTTTATACAGCCCCAGTGGGGTTTGGGGGTCCCCAAAAGTGATCCATGGGTTCCCAAAAGGGATCTATGGGTCCCAAAAAGGGATCTATGGGTCCCAAAAAGGGGTCTGGGGGCTCTCTAGAGCCCAACCCAAGACCTCCAGACCCCCAAACCCCCCTCCAAATGCCCACCACATTTCAGGAGGAGCCCAAATCCCACCTCCCAGCTGAAAATCAACCTCCCACCCCACTTCCTAGGGCTGGGTGAAGGATCAAACCCTCAGGAACACCCCCAAAAAAGAGCTTTTTTTTTTTCTTTCCCCCCCTCCTGCTCACCGGCTCCTTTTCCAGGGCTTCCACCAGCACTATGGGTCCCCAGAAGGGATCTGGGGGTCCCAAAAAGGGATCTATGGGTCCCCAAAAGGGGTCGGGGGGGGGGGCGGGGCGCC